GTGCCTGCGTAGGAGATTTTAGAGTCAGCTTCTCCTGTTGACTCAGATAATTTTTGGACCCACTGAGGAAGGGAAATGTTTGAGATTCATGCTTTGGGTCCAGACAAAGAAAGACAGAAAGACTCTTCCCCTTTTGACCACACAGACATTTAACAGAACTAAAACAAACAGGCAAACAACCAAAGACACCACAGACAGAAAAATGAGACTGACAGGAAGAATCTAATTATACAATAGTTCATGAATAATACTCAAAACAAAATGCGGATGATCAGCTCAAAGAAAGATGTGGACTGCGTTTGGCTACCATGGCTAAAAATGGCTTGGACTCATACTTTTCCTCTCAGTCAGCAAGCAAATGATGTACACTATGTGAACACACACAGAAAATATGGCACTAGGGGGTTCAGCCATGAGAATTTGCTTACGCATACCTGAAAGTTCTTTGAGAACAATAACAGAACCATAAATGTGCTTCTGACCTGAGAAACCAAACATAAAGCATCTAAAAAACTGTATGGCTGTTACACATCACACAAAAGCAGGATTATCTTAGAAACACTAAGAGATCTTTAACTGCCAAGCCCCAAACAACACTTGCCTCTGGGAGCACAAGCACAAGCAAAACTTGGTTTCTTATCAGGTTGTATCTCACATCTGATTATCTTCGGTGTCTGCACAGGTGAGAGTGCAGGCTGCAGTGTCTGTGCAGTCACGGAGGCTCTCACTCAGTCTCTGGTGCTTAAAACTGCAAGTTTCCATCGCAGCCTCATTCTCAGTGGGAACACTTACAAGAGCTCAGGATTTTAAAAATCCTCACCTGGGGCAGCGTGACACAGTGCTGTCACATAAGCCTTGTTCCCATAGCAATAGGAACGAGCCTTGTTTTTTACAGAAAGTTTTCCAAAAAAGGTTCTTCAAGACAAACGTATAGCTGCACTTTCTTTCAGAGCTTCAGCGCTTTATGCTTTTGGTGCTGTTGCTGCAGCCTGGAGCAAAGTGTATTTTTAGTGACACCTCCAAGAGACCTTTCAGCATTAATCGTCACAGAAGTGACGTCTGATGCAGCAGATCGAGATTCCTGCAATTCCTGCAGGTAATTACTGCCTGTTAAGTGATGCAGCACAACTGCTTCTGACATGGTTGCCTCTGTGGTAAAAAACCACCATGCTTGGGAGAAAATTGCAGCCAAAAGAGTTAGAAAATCTGAATAGTATCTGAAGATACATTCTGCAGTGCAATAAACTTGAGAGGTGCTAAAAAATGCCAAACAACCAAACTGTGAAGAATCAACTGTAATTTGTCACAGGTTGTAACTGCTTTGGAGAGAGCATTAAAATAGAAATGAGTTATGTGCTTACAGGGATTTATTAATCTGTAGGAACAGAAGAGCCAACTGTTACTGAGAGAATTATGAACTCATATAATTAAAATGCTTTATGTTCTAAATGTTTTGTTTTAGGGGTTATAATCAGCTTGGGGTTGGTTTCAATGTATACACATAAGTAAGTGTAGCTGAATGGAAGAACAGACTTTCTCATAATTCTTTCTGGAGATATTTATAACCATAATAACAAGGATAGCTTGAGAAAGCTGTCCTTCCTATGTCTGCCTTCCTTTGTCTTGCAGCCATTGGCTTCAGCCTCCAGTACTTCTGAGCGTAAGTCTGAGCAGCCCCTGGGCCTCTGCTGGGTACATTTGGGGCCTGTCTCAAGATCAATGAGGAAAACAAACTTGTTTTGAATTCCCAAATAGGCTGTTGTACATAAGGCAGGCAAGATGGGTTATAGCCATGTGGCACAGAGTACGCCCCCATGAGAGCCCTGTGCACTCAGTGCTGATACAGTGTTACGTTACACGCAGGCATAGGGAGTGAAACCCTTCAGCCCATGATGTCCAACATCAGCCTGTAATTATCTTTTGGCATTTAAATAAATGCCTGATTTTCAAAGAAAAAATAATCTCCAGCTCCTGCTGACTTTGGCAGCATCTATTGCATTTTTGAAAATCTGCCTACCTCTGTTTGGGTTCCCAACTATAGAATTAGGTACCTAATTTTAGGAACTTTTTGAAAATGTTGACCAGTGGCCTTGCTTCACTGCTTGTTACATCAGCTCTCCCTGGTATAAATGTTTTGGATGAGTAAATGGATTTATTTCCACAGGAAACCTGCCCCAGGTCTGGGAAACGGGGATCTATGGCAGAGTAGGAACAGGAATTTTTGTTGTTGTCTTTCCTAGGAGTACAAATCACTGGGCTGGTGTTAAATATTACGAAGAGAAGTAAACAAACACAAGAGCAAATCAGTAGGCACTCTGCTGTTAGACACGGGTTTGCCACCTTGCAGGGACTTATCTTTTCATATGGCTCATACCAACAACCCCACTGCTTAATTTCCCTTCTGTTCAGCCATTTTAAAGTAAAAATCATACAGCTGTTACCATGTTCTGATCTCTTAGATGCACTTATTGAAATTATTAAAATGGCATCTGATTACTTTTCTCTCGCACGTGCTCTCAAATGCCTTTATTTCCCAAGCAGCGCTGTCCTTCTGGAGATGCAGCCAAAGCTAAGTTAGGATGGAACTGTGGGAACAACAGGGTGATAACTGCACCCCTCTCAAAAAGAAAGCTTATACTCTTTGCCAGAAATCATTTCCCGGACTCAACACTTTGCTGCTACTCCTTGTTCGCATGCAGCAGATTCCTTCAGTTGGTAAGACTGCAGCAGCTGGCTTCATTCAATCAGCACTTGACAAATCATGCCATAAGACACTGAAAAGTAAACTGTAGGTCTGTGAATAGATCATTAATTTCTGAAAGAGAGAGAAATTACTTTCTATATAGAATATCTTTTTTTTTTTTTTTTTTTTTTGGCTGCAATGTTCATTCTAGGCTGGGAACAATTTTTCTTCAATATTTTTTCAAGGAGATTGTGCAAGTTTGCTGATGAATTCTGACATTACCCTGTGTTTATCCAGGACCAAACTCGACGGAAACATTAATCAGAAGATGTATACATTTTGATAGGAAAACCAGAGTTTGTGTAGCAGCAGCAAGCCCCAACATTCCCTGAGCAGAAGCCAGAGACATTTGCTCGCCAAGAGCAATGGCAAGATGTTGTCAGCAGCAGAAGTTCTGTGGAAAGGAGAGGCACAAGGACTGTTTCCAGTCTGGGTCATCTCAGACCACTCAGTGCAGTTTACTTTTGAGCACGTATATCTACAGGCTACTCCTTGGTTACCCACTTCAGTGAGCTGGCAGGAATCCAAGCACCTATTCGTATAATTTCAGAGGAAAGTAAGTGAGTAACACTGGAAGGAGGAGTTTGGACTTTTGCAATGCTGTTTTTCTATTGCTAATGCTTTGATCCATCTTGCAATAATTTCCAGTGCAGCTCTGCACAAGTAATTGCACAAAATTAATCACTGGTGTAACTCCATCTGGTAGTTCATTGGGTTCACCCTCTGATGCCTCCTCAGCCCTTTTTGTTCTCCTGCCCATTTGCAGCAGCAGGCAGCACCGCTCCCAGCTCACGGCTTCCCACCCTGCCAGAAGGGTTGGCACCTTCTGGCCACCTCCTCCCATCTGTGCAGCTCCCATCTCATGTCCTCCACCTTTGCATGCCCCATCAGTGCTGGCTGCTCATGGGGAAGCCCTGCAGGCACAGGTGAAGCAGGACCAGCACTCTGCAAAATATCATTGTGTTGTACATCTCACCACGCAAATACTGCTGGGAGAACACCAGCAGTGAGCACAGCCACAACATGAAGAATATTACTACAGCCACCCCACTGACTGTATTCAAATTACAGGCAGTCTACTGTGAGCATTGCAAATGAAAAGGATAAATCCTTTACGTAGCACAGCGATTACCTTCTGGAACAACAAGTGCAGCCCACAGTTCCACCCAGGTTAAATGAATGCCGCAGCTCCTATTATGCTTGGGAGAGTAGGACAGGAAAGTAGCACACTGTTAAATGCAGGGCAATATTTAACATAACCACACGCGTGGCTTACAGGAGAAGCTTGTCATTTAATAAAGTAGGCAGTGAGTTGGGGTTTATTAGGGAAATGCCGCAGCTATTGCAAAACTGGCCTGGTTCTAAAAGTTTTTGTTGCCTAGTTATTACACAGAGCCTTTCTGATATATGCCTGGCCACTCGGTAAGACACACCACATGTTATTAGTAAAGACCAAATAGAAATGGCACTGAACAGAAAGAGTTGCACATGGAGTCATCAGGATTAATTTTTCAGTATGGACATATGACAGTTACCCAGATTTAGGTTTCACTGGTTCCCCATTTCTTTCCTTTTTGGATGAAAAGCGCTCCCTAAAATGCCACCTGTTGGCTGCTGTCCTGTGGCCGTAGTGCTCGTGGGGACGATGCAGTGGCTCACCTTGCTGGCTGGTAGAGCTGCCTGGGCCCGTTCCCAGCTGTGTGCTGAGTACACCAGAGCTCCTGTGATATGATTAGGCCCACACCATCTCAAGTGTAATGTTGGTAAACTTTACCGCCAATCAAAACAAGTTACCTTCCTGGGAGTCTGACATCCTCTGGAAACTGAGGGTATAATAGCATCAGGAGCATAAAACGAGCACGAAGAGAAGGACATTGAAAGACTTGATTCTACCTTGACATGTAAAAAAATACCTCTGTGCCTGGTAAATGTCATGAATGGTGAAATCCTTGGCCCACGTACAAAGGTCAGCTCCCCTTCACACAGACAGAGCTAGGATTTCACTGTGGCTATATTCGGGTGAGCATTCACTGCTGCTTTCACACCAGTTAGCCTGTAATTGTAGTCCTTAGAGTTCATTTATTCTCATGCTGCATAACATTGTTTGAAAGGGAAAGGAAATTGACGTTCATGCAAGGATCTCAACAGAGGCGGTAAGATACGGCACACTGAAACCCTGAAAGTTCCAGTGAGATTTTCCACTGCTCACCTTTGGATGTCAATTAGAGCTTGAAAACGAAAAAGATCACCATACATATTTATAGCTAAGTCAATCTTTACTTAATTAGGCTATGTATATTTTTAAACTAGCAGTACAGTTAGAACATTCTTGCAGTATCCTTGCTTATAATGCTTTTGGCTCCATCTGAATTTCTTGGTTAACTTATTTACCTCTTAAGATGTGTAACCGATTTTCTTTCTTTTCACAGAATATAAACACCTTCACTGCCCCATAAGCACAGAGCCTGTTTGTTCCCTGCTCACACCAGTGTGAATCAGCAATGACCCACGGCAGCCTATAGGATCACATCAGTGTAAAGGTGATGTCAGAGATAGAGATCAAAGCCCTTGTTCCAAAGTTAATTGTTTTTGCTGAAAAAAAAAGATGAGTACAGAACACGTTTATTCTCCTTCTCAACTGAAATGTCAAATAAATACTGCAGTTTTGTCCTCTGCTCCATGTGGGATTTGTATACATGGATCATGTTGCAAAAAACAGGGCCTTGTCACAGCAATCATGCTAAGAGTCCGCGGCCTTGATCTAATTGTAAGGAATCTATTTGTTTGCTGTCATTGAGACCACTTTTCCACATCCAGAGCCAATGGCAAACCATCATCAGCTGTCAGCAGTGTGGCTACTGCTGACAACAAATACAACAAACACGTGCTGCACGTAAAGCCATTCCTCAACCGTTTCACAACATCCCTCACTTTACACATTTAATGCTTTCAGCATTTCACTTGGTAAAGAAAAGCATCATATCAGGACTTGCAATCTTTTTTCTTTCCTTTTAAATTAATAGGCATATCGCTTGTGAAGGGGACTGAGGGCAAAGATGGGAGAGGACTCATCCAAAGCTTGCAAGCGACAGCATCCTTGGGACCACTCTAACTCATGGTGATGCCTCCCTGGTGTCCCAGCACAGCCTTGCTGCAGTAAGGACTCACCCCAGCAGTGCATGCACCACCTCAGCCTCACACACCTCCTGTGTGTGCCCACACGCCAGCAGTGCATTCCCCTCAGAGTACCTGTTTGCATGCAGCACCTCCCAGACTGGTAGCAGCCTCCCCTTGCACAGCCGATGCTGAAAGCCTTACCTGGCCACAGCTCCAAGCACCAGTTCAACGTGGCTCCACTGCACCGGTATGGCAGCAGCTGGTAGTGCAAATGGAAGCCAGCCAGTCTCATGGGCACACCTGCCTTCATCTGCCTGTCAAAGGCACGGTATAGAAATTATGTCTGAATGTAAGCACTGGCCTTTTGGAATCATTACTCAGAGAGCAGAGGTACCCAGGTGTCAATCAGTTCTGTACTCACACATTGCCTAGCAAAATCAGACTTCAAATTTCCTGTTTGGGCCATGGTGCTTGCTGCCCCTGGAAGCTCAGTTACCATAAACTCATGCTTGGTTTAACTAGAGGAAAACATGTAGGAGCAAAACACGAATGCCCACCTAGCATACATAGAAGCTGTATAACAGAAGTGCCAGAGGGATGGTACAGGCTGCAGTGAGGACTCCTTCCCTTCCCTTCCCTTCCCTTCCCTTCCCTTCCCTTCCCTTCCCTTCCCTTCCCTTCCCTTCCCTTCCCTTCCCTTCCCTTCCCTTCCCTTCCCTTCCCTTCCCTTCCCTTCCCTTCCCTTCCCTTCCCTTCCCTTCCCTTCCCTTCCCTTCCCTTCCCTTCCCTTCCCTTCCCTTCCCTTCCCTTCCCTTCCCTTCCCTTCCCTTCCCTTCCCTTCCCTTCCCTTCCTTTCCCTTCCCTTCCCTTCCCCACAGCACACCAGCTGCTTTATGCAGTGTTTTAGGCCGTGTTTACCTGCTGGAAGAGTTTGGGTGTCAGTGTTTGTTTTTCATGGCACAGTCTCTGCAGAGCAATGAGGCTCCTCTGTGTGGCGCTTGCAGCAGGCATAGAAAAAACGTTATTCCATGAGTGAGGTTGTACCTGGCAAGGCAGGGCACACACGTACACAGACAGGGAGGTGTCCAGTGGCCATACTTACACAAATTCATAAATCAATCACTCATTCGTGATTTGCTAGTATTACCTTGTCAGCTATTCGAGATGTTTAAGACTCATTTTCATCCTCAGAAACTGTAGATGAAGAACACAGCAAACACTAACAATGCCAGAGGAGCAGTTCTGACTGTGGTATTTTAAGCATCATTTGCCATTGAAAGAAAACAAACAAACAAACATAAGGGAAACCACTGAGTTAAGGCAGAATACAGAAATCCAGGCAGGGAGGAAGGACGAGCTGTAACTGCTGGTGAAGGGCTGCACATTTATAATCGTTTGTTTTCCATATGATGTGCCTGTATGATTTCCAGTCTGGTGAGACTGAAGCAACACCCTCATTTTGGCTGAGTAGGCAGGAATACACTTCTAAACACACAAAAAAGATTTGGAGCATCAGTGTTGGCTGCTGGGCTGCCAGTGGCTGTGCTGCACTGGATGCTCTCCTGGGGAGCATTTCCCACAAATATAAATGCCGAATCAGAATTAGAGGCTTGTTCTAAATTATAAGCTGGGTTTCCCCAAAACAGGCGCCTGCTAACCCTACTGTGTGCAGGCTGTGTCATTGGCTCTGGCCACCCCGCTCCCTCTGCCCCAGGCTGGGTCTGCATTCTTTCCGATCCAATCAAGAAAACCTGAAATAAGAGAACAGTGTTAAAGAACAGCTGGTTAACTTATAAACTACCAGTAAAACTGAAAAATGAATAATGAGGGCTGTGAAATAGAAGGAGGAGTAAAGAAAATACACTGCTTGAGAGCCAGCTCTTTTCCTGTGCAGCTCCCAAGCCACACGTGTGCACATTTCTGCTGTAAAATCCCCTGAAAACAGCAACTTCTCAGCTTTTCAGCTTTCAGTACATCACAAGTGTTAGCAGATTATTTAGAGCAAGAGCCTTCTAAATGGTCCCCTTAGCTTTATATACATGAATTGCTCCCACTGTCAGCCAGAGGGAGATGCATGGCAGCAGGACCATCCATAACACTAGTGCTGCCCTGCCAGGGAGAGCAGGAAAATATTCTGTGATTTCTGTAGCACCTTTTCCATAAGGCCCACAACGCTCTTTGCAAGTCAGATTGGACTAAACGTGTCAGCACTCAGGGGGGGAGGGAAACGCTTCTTCCCCTGTGCTGGAGAAGGAGAACTGAGGCTCTGGGTCCCTCCAGCCCTTCAAGCACTGCTGTTCTCTTCCCTGAGGCGTGGGGCGCAGCTCCGACACCCGAACACAGTGCTCCTGTTCCCAGCAATTCCTGACTTCCTGCAATTCGTGTTTGCCAAGTGAGGTGTAATGTAAAAATCTACACAGGATGTAAGGAAGGAGCAAGCTAAAGCACTACGAAGATCAAATGCTCTGAAAAAGCAGGGCTGTACAATTCTTCAGTGACTTAGGATTTGTTTTTAATGTGTATCCTCACACTGATGACTCCCCACTCAGCAAGACTGAGATTGAAACAACCCTTTTAAATTAACACAGAGTGCATTATCTTTAATGCTACCCATACCCTAATAATGGGGATAACAGGGAACACCCACCCATTGCTGCTGCTGTGGATGGAGCCTGGCTGGCAGCTCACTGCTGGGCTGGGGGTCACAGTTCTCACCTGTACACCTCCAGCATGAAGGGCATTAGGACACGGCATTTTCGTGTGTGAATCACAGCAGCTCTTTGCTATTCTAAAAATATGACGAGTTTTCTGTTTCCTGTAGATCCAGCAGCCACACAGGTCTTCACTGCCATAAACAGCAAAAAAAAAAAAAAAAAAAAAAGCTAATCCAGGATTTAACTTGGAGCTGGGAAGCTTCTACTGTCCTCTCCTAAGTAACAGAGGTTTTTAAAATAAAAGACAATTTGGATGTGGCTTTTGCATCCCAAACTCCAGCCCTGGGCCTGTCGCTGTGAGAAGCATCGCAAATGCTCCTTCCTACATGGAATTTCCATAGCTCCTCTATCAGTTACCTGGAAAAAGCAGTCATTGTAATGAAAACCCTGAGGGCAGATAGAATCATGAGAACAGACCAGCCTTATTGCAATGGGTATTGACTGTAACTCATTAAGATGTTAAGCTATTGACATCCCATTTGATGAGAAAAATGTCTGATAGTGAGCGTACACAACCGGCAGTGAGCGCGCCAGCATCAACACATCATAATGAGTAACTAACGATGTCTGCGGCCTAGCCGGGCGATTAAGGCAGTATCCTTTGATCCGTGTCACTGACTTGATTGAATGCTGCACCAAGATCGGATCTCTGTGCATCGCTGGGGAGGTTCCAGTCCCTGGGGAGATTTGTTGTCCTCGTCCCCACGTCACCAGGGTGTCTGTGCCGAGCACAGTCACTCCTATAGCATCTCAGCTCTGTTCCTCTGAGCAACATCAGCCCTGCTGGTTAACTACCAGCACCACCAGCAGAGCATCAGGGGCACCTGAGCTGCCACCACCATGCTGCTCAGCCCAGCACATACCTGCTTTGCTCCTTCCTTCTCGCTGCCTCTGCTCCTTGCTGTGTGGCCCTGCTCAGCAGACAAAGCCTGTGACACTCAGGCTTCTGCATTTTCCACATGCACTTCCCGAGCACACTCACATAGGGGATGCGTGTGTTGGAGTCACTTTGCCTTGAGACATGCAAAAAGCTGTGCAGGCCCCCTGGTGTCCCCAGCAGCAAGGAACCCTTGGGGACATCGCTTGGCCCAGGCGATGCTGTGAGGGCAGGTCCTACGGCATCGCCTCTGGTGATGAGGGGCAGATTTGGGGATGGGGTCCTCCCTCTCCACTGTGCCTGCCCTGGATGGGCACTGCTCTGGTTCCCAGCACAGCCTCACGACAGCAGCCTCAGGGGAGCCCTGACAGGAGCCCAACACCTCCTCCACTCCGCAGCACAAGGAAACCTCACAGTAGGCCCAACCTGCAGAGCCCCAAGAGAAAACCGTGCCAGTGGCACCCAGGCCGTGCACTGGGATAAAGGCAGCTGATGCTGTGATTTAGGGGAGTAATGAAGGGCCAATCCTCGTCTCGGCAGCACAGCTCACTGCCCATAAGGCCGTTACTTCTGTGGCAGGCGCTGATCCCTCATTAGGGGCTGGCTGGGTGGTGTGGGGCTGTCCCAGCATGGTGCCTTGTGATGGGGTGTGTGATGGGCCCTGTGGGGCCGTGGGGCAGTACAGCAGCGACGGGGGAGGGACACGATATCCCTTCCTGCAATGAACCATTCATCCTGCGGGCCCAAGGCGGACTCCGTCCCGCCGATTACCGTGGTGACATCCATACCCGCACACACAAAGGAGGCAAGAGATGGCTAAATGTAAAGTGCTGGAAAATCCAACCTTTTATTTACTACATTTTTGTGACTACATAAACGCTGAAACATTTTAACACTGAAAAGCATGATGACATCATCACTTGCTCTTTTTTCCTTTTTTTTCTTTTTCCATTTTTCTTTTTTTTTTTTCCTTTTTTTTTTTTTTTTTTTTGCTTAGCAAACACAGCAGATGATATTGCACGGCATAAAGTGAGAACAGTAGCAAAGCTTAAAAAAAGGAACGTAAGGAAATTTAACGCAGTACAGGAGATACTCTGAAACAAAGCCGATAATGCCTAGCGCATTACACGTCGCTACACACGAAAATACAGAAGAAGCGCTTGACTAAGAGAGAGATTGAGGAAATATTAGCAACCAACCGTCATTAGGTACAATAATCGGTCTGAAATGCAGATGCGACGCATAAACTACGACTGCTTCCTAATGGGCGAACCGAGCAGGGCGCCGCGGCCGCCCGCTCCCACCCGCCCCGCCCCGCCCGCGCGGTGGGCGCCGCCCCGCCGCTGCCGCAGCCGCTGATTGTCTCGGGCGCCCCCTGCGCGGCGCGGGCGGGCTGGCGGCGGGGCGGGGCCACGCGGGAAGGGGGCGGGGCCCGAAGGGGGGCGGGGCTCAATTTGAGGGCGGGGCTAAGGGGGCGGGGGGCGGGGCTAGGAGGGGCGGGGCCGGGCTGACCCAGGGCCGGGCTGGGCAGCGGGCACGGGATGAAGACAAGTAGCAAAGCGAGTGAGAGACAACGCCGTCAGTTTATTGTCGTTTAATACTGCCGTTCGGTTCGTACTGCGAAACTAAAATGATTCCACAACGATTATGCAATAAATGCAGAACATACCATGAGAAATCAAACGACTAAAACAGAAAAAGGAAACTTTCTTTTTTTTTCCTAAGTATACTTCTGTCCAGTGTTCAATAGCTAATGCTGGATTCGCAGACTAATACTTTGTCTCCTCCCTCCACGTGACACATAAGTCATTGCACGGCATCGGTTTATGTATTAAAAGCAGACATTTAGCCAATGCTTACCAACAGACCATTTAATGATCCTGCATTTCAGAGCATCTTTATTGCCCCATTTCAATACTTGAAGTATAAAAATGTATCTAGAAAGTGTAACTTCTGACCAAAAGCTCAAACCCTGCCCTCGTCCTTCCCTCCCTCAACCCCTCCGACATCCCCTGAACAAAAACAACGTACACCTGGAGCTCACCTACTGTGCATGGAAAGAAATATTTACATCCGTCACAAATCATGTCATACACAACATTTAGTTGAAACAGAACCTATTATTTTACGCAAAATAAAATACAAGTGAGCGGCATCCTATTTTCTGTGCCGTGATGCCACCGTCAGCTTTGCAGAATTATCATTGTCATTACTCTCCTCAACTCAAAACTGCTGTTCCCCTCTGGAGCTGAGCAGGGTGGCACGCGGTCCCCCAGCGGGATGGTGGCACCTCTGCCCATTGGCCAACTCGGGGCCCTGCGGTGCTGCTGTGGCCCCGAGCTGCCCCCTCCAGGAGCCTACAACCATGGGTGGCACTGAGGTGGCCCGGCGGCGGCCAGGGCCTGAGCGCTGCCAGCTGGGTGCAGCCATCCCTGCCATCCCTGCCACCCCCATCTGCCCCCATCTGCTCCCCCCAGGAGTGCAGCCTGTGGGCACACACCGAGCTGGCAGCAGCCACCCACCCCACGGGTGCCCCGGGTCTCACAAACGCCGGTGCCTCGAAGCATTAACCAACCAAAATGCTTTGGACGCGCGGGTCTGACCCCCTAAGGAACCTTTCTAGAAAAAAAAAAAAAAAAAAGACAAATAAATTAAAGGAGAACGTGCTAAATAATGCCTTTCTGCTCTCTATGTGACAAAAGCACTACCTTGGAACACTCATTTTGGCATGAACAGGGCCGAGGGGAGGGAGGCTGGGGGATAACCTGGCAGTGTTTGGGACACGCGTGGAAGTGCACGCCAAGACAAGCCTGAAGACACACCCTGCAGTCAAGAGAAGCACTCTCCTTCAGTTTATCTCGGCATCGAGAATGAAAAGATTGTAACATAAAGCTTTGGCCATTTTTGAATCTACTATATACAATTTCTTTTTAAACTACATAGTCATAAATTAAAGCAGTGATTAAATAAGTGTATACAAAATGTAATTAAATTAAAAATCACAGCACATTATAGAGAAAAAATAGGAACCATTTATCACAGCAGATAATATTTTTTTTACCCTGTGAAAAGAACGTCGACTAGCAAACACAAAGCATCCCAACCCAAACAAAAGAAATCAAAGCCGCTTTTCCCCTTCTCGCGTTCATTGCAACCAGCGATCTTTACCCACTTAGAAGCGTTTCCAGGAATAGGATCTTCCTTGAGTATAACAGAGAAGTTCTGCCAAAAGAGAATTAGAAGAAACCCAAACCCGACCACAGCAATAAAAAAGGAATGTACAAACAAAACAACCCCTACAAAATAAATAAGAATTATAAAGCTTCTTTTAAGTAACCTTAACAATTATCAAACTAGTAAGTTCTGCCTTATCACATAGACTCTCTATACAACGTAACCCTAACGATTTATTACTATGAGGTATTTGGAGGAATTGGTAAAAGCAATGCACGGCCTGTCTGGGCTGAGGGACTCACGCTGCTTGCGGGGGAAGGAGGAAGGAACCTTTGGTTTGTCAGCAAGAAAGTGGAAAAAAACATTTTCCTTTGGTATCAAAGAAAGTTTCATTGCATGGTTGCACGGCAAAAAGCACCACGGTGAAGAATTATTCCTTTTTTCATTAGTGGCCTTTCTAACAGGCTGAGGTATTCAAAGAGTATAAGGTGAGAGATAAAGAGGTCAACAGCGGTTTAACACTTTGGTTCAAGCAAGGCACTCGTCCTAGGAGTTTACAAAGTTTGCAACATGTTTGCCTAGAGCTTTATTATTATTATCCTTATCATCGTCAGCAGTAGAGTTGTAGTAAGAGAAGCATTCATCAGGTTACCGTCATCGCTACAAGGAGCAGACGCATCTACGCACTGGGAGAGGCGAGGAGGGGGGGGAGGAGTTCCCTTCACAGACCGAGGCCGTGCATGAAAAATCTTTGGTATTCTTTGGTATCATCAATGTGATTAAAATCACCAATGGAAATCGAGTGAGGTAGCGTCTTTGGTTCACACTATAAATAGTAGATCTTTACACACTTTTTTTTCTTTTTTTTTTTCTTTTTTTCTTTTTTTTTTTTCTTTTTTTTCTTTTTTTTTCATTTTTTTTCTTTTTTTTTTTTTTAACACGTGGAAGTAGCTATTCCTTACCTTTTGCTTCTTTGTCTTTAGCAAATAGTTACCAAATGTATTGTAAAGCTAACCACACCACAATAATAAACCAGAAGGCTAAGCAAAGTCTCAAAATTAGCCTCTGGACCTTTGAATGCACCCAAACGCAGCTGGATAGAAAAGGGTAAGTGCTTTCTCTTTGTTTGCTAAATGCATAGTTTTCATTCTTATGTACAAAGGAGGAGAGGAGGAAGAGTGGTGGAAGGAAGGGGCGAGAAGGCGGCTCACAGCAGGGAGAAAGGCCCTGGGGCTCCTTTGGGCTGTGCCCTCCAGCAGCACCCAGGGCTGTGCCCACTGCCAGCCCCGCACCCAAGGCAGCTGTCGGCACCGCCTGCAGGAGCAGCGGCACGGCCCCGCCGGCTCGCATGGCTTTACCTGAGTGAGGAGAGGAGGACAAGGCCCTGGAAGCCTCCTGGGGCCGAGCCGAGCAGCGCTGCCATCCAGGGCTGTGCCTGCTCCCCAGAGAGCCAACAGCGCCCTTAGGGTGGGACGGGTGCTTCGCCTCTGAACCACACTGCCTGGGGTCGGCATGGTTTTGGCAGCCCCCATGGGCCGAACGCACGCCCCTGACGCCCTCGTGCCACGAAGCCCCGTGGAGCCATGGCAGACTGGGTTCCGCTCCTCTCCTAAATGTTCCTGGCAGACTTTCAGGTCCTTTGGGTATGGAATCTGAAACTAATTTCCAGTTTGTCGGGCGTGAAGCCCCGATCTCATCCAGGTGGACAGACGGACACTAACGTAACGGGAACAGGACGGGTGTGACACGCGGCACGGCACAGGGAAGGGACGGCAGCCGACGAGCAGCAGCGATGGGATGGGGCTGTGCCGTGCCTGGGCACAGGGGAGCAGTCCCGTAGGGATCCACTGCACGGGCTGAACGCAATTAAAGAAAAGTGGGTTCTTGGTCTATTCTGAGTACGAAGCGCGTATTGCTTGTGGCAAGGGTGGTTTTGTTCTCCATGGCTTATAAAAAAATCAAAAGGTTTACAGATACCTCAACAGGCATGTAAAAAAACAAAACAAAACAACACTTAAAATCTATAACTTGTGCATCAGTTTTGGTGTGTGGATACGTGTGCATGTATACACACATATACAGGGCATGTGCGTGCATATATGAACACATAGATCTACTCAGGGGCTCGTGTGGGTGTGTATCAGAGATCCTGAAATTGCATATTGGGTGCAAATTTAATGCTGGTATGAAAGTTCTCTTTGGTTTCAGCAAGCAGACTCTAAGGACAATACAATGGAAATGCTAAAAAATGCGGCGATGTACTTTGAATTTCCCTGCATTTTTAAATTCTCAAGTTTTAAATAAATAAGGCTTTCTTTTCTAAACTATAGGTACGTTACAAAGCAGTGTTCTACTGGGAAAACAAAACAAAACAAAACAAACCCTAAAACATTAGTTATCACTGTCCTTTTTTAATCTCACACTAATGAAACTGCATTCATAAGATGCTTTATAGGTGAGCTTGTTAGTATTTGTCAGTTATACTCTGGTGGGAATGGAACACTTTAAAAGAGAGCTCTCTAAATTTTAAGGTAAGCTAGAAGTTCTAAAGCCTTGGAGATTATGTTTAAATAGGCATTTGCTTTGACATTCTTAAACTGGGTTTAACATAGAAAAACGGGGAGAAATATCTGTTTTACTTGGTTTTACTTGAATGTGTTTTAATAAAGAGATACTTTAGTTTAATTCTAAACACCTACTGGAAGTTACCTATGTACCCTGAAACCTGACTAGACCCTGTCATCTTGGGAAATAAATGGTGCCACTGGTATTTGAGGGGCTGCATCACAAAAATCTGTATATGGCTGATGTTGGAAGAATTCTAGTTTACCTAGAATTTTAATTTCCCTTAAAAGGAGAAAGAAAGAAGAGAAGAGAAGAGAAGAGAAGAGAAGAGAAGAGAAGAGAAGAGAAGAGAAGAGAAGAGAAGAGAAGAGAAGAGAAGAGAAGAGAAGAGAAGAGAAGAGAAGAGAAGAGAAGAGAAGAGAAGAGAAGAGAAGAGAAGAGAAGAGTGTAAGATTGCCTATTTCTTGGGCCTAACCTGCATATTTGGTTACTCTGGAATTTAATATGCCTAGTAGAATTATGACAGAAATTCAGGACACCAGTAGAAATCTAACAAGCACATGTATTTAAAATTTGTTTTTAAAGTCCAATTGGTTTTTAAAGTCTAATTTCCCCTTACACTAAAATTCAGTTTGCAGATGTTGCATGCTTTTCTTTTTACTTTTACTTATCAGAGTAGGGATGGGACGGTTTATCTTCTGAGGTTCTATCAGCAACAGAGCAGTTAAACTTTCCAACTATGAATTTTAAACTACTTCATGCAGTATTTGGATTAACAGATGAGCAAGAAAGAATGCACGGAAGAAAGCTCAGCCTGATGCACGTGGACAGGAAGCCACGTGACAATAGGCTGTGCCTTTGTGTCATGGGAACACTGCTATCAACTTCAGAGGAGCCATGACTTGGCTTTCCGACGGCACGTCCAGAGCTCCTGCCAGAGCTGCTGCCATCCACACTACCTGATGTCCTACCAGCTTTCAGTGGGAAAAGACCCCCAAGTCTTCACATATATCGCTATTCCTCTGCCTAGAAAAGTCAGTAGGTTAAAAAAAGAAGAAAGAAAGAAAGAAAAAAGAGCTCCCTAACATCAATGAGCATTGACCAGGTGTTGGGCCCCAGCCCCATTGTGCCATTCTTTCTTGCCATTCGTGAAAAGAAACAAGAATGTGACATTACTAATGGCAAATAACAGTCTTGATTACAAGTTTTATGTGTTATACAGTTAGATTAGTTTATACCTATAACTCTACATAGTATTTTGTGTAAAAATAGCTTTGGAATATTAAAATCATTGCAATAAAATACCTGCAATATAATTATTAAATGTGTTCTTTGGTAGCTAGTCAACTTTTATGGATGGAATAGTTTCCCTTTTTTAAATCTGAACATTCCTTAACAAACAAAGAGAATGCACTGGTTTAGGTACCATTCAAAATTTCTCTGCCTAGTTTGAACTCGTGTCCGGGCATCGCGCCGGGGAAGCTCAAACACCAAAACAGCAAAAATCACACTACCATTCAAATGCATTCGGACGACTCCACGCCTTGCTGGCCATGCCGCGCACGACCCTCTCTGCCAACCAGCTCTGACTCAGTCCCTACCACCGGTGTGTACACAGCACGGACACACTGCACACCTTCATGGCGATCGCTGTGGAAATGAAGAGCCATATCTGACAAGATGTCCATTCAATGACAAGAAATCACTATGCTCCAAACCACTACACAGCCAAGGACGGTGGAGATGATCATGGATGAAGGTGTGAGACCAGTGGTCTACTTTTCTTCTCTTCGTGTTCCACTTTGTTCATTCCATTTCACTCTCTTCTTTCCTTTATTTTTTGCAAGTTGTCATCCTACTAAAGCGTGTGTCTTAGAACAAAGTCATAATGCAGGTGAAATAAGTCTTTGGTTTCTTTGGACTTATAAATAACATTTTTTTCAAATAGTTCTAAGTATAAACCTGCTATCTTGAGGTCCCGGTCTGTCTTTATTTATTTATTTATTTATTTTTAAAGCTTTTCCACCGAGGTTTAGTTTGTGGTAATTCCTTCATGCTTTGGTACAAGTGCTTGATGAAGATGAGTTGCCTGAATTGGAGCTGCCCTCGTCTTGCCACTTATCCAGACTCCTCCTCCGTGCATTCATGAAAAAGTTGCTGACGGTGCTCAGCTCCAACCCGAGCTGCTGGGAAATGGTGATTTGTAATTCTTTGGATGGACGCTTATTTTCCTTGAATATTGCATGTAGAGTTCGACGCTGGACATCCGTGAAGACCAACCGAGGCTTTTTGGGGGTATTCCCTCTGTCCTTCCCGTGCTCTTGTTCTTTCCTCTTGCACGCTGCAAGAAAGCGGAGCACTGGTTAGAGGTCTGGCAGAGTGGTAAATGACAACCAGAATAAAAGGAGCATTCACTTTGGCTTCTACATTTGGCAAGGATGTGTGGCATGGGATAAGACATGCACTTACATGCAGGTTTTGTGGGTCCACCGACAGGCACTTGCACAAGTCAGTTTAAAGACAAGTTTAAGGGTTTATTTTTTAACACATTATAAGCAATGAAAAATTAAGGGAAATAAATTAAAAAATGCCTTTGCCATTGTCTGCTAAAACTCAGTGAAGCTGTCCCTGAAAGGTTAAATTTTGACATGGTTGAACTATGCAACATCCCTCGAACGTAGAGTGGAAATTCACAGAGCTCTTAAGTCAATCTTTCGTGCATTTTTAATCCTCGCTATTTGTTGCGAATCCATTTCTGTTTTGTTGTTGCTGATGGTTTTCCTCTTTTTTTTGGCTGAGAAATAAGGAACTGGGAGAAAACAGGACTCTGATACCATCTCAAAGCTCAGAATGATGACTAAAAGAACCCATCTTTTCACACAGAACAATGGCACACCAACTCTTCCTTACGCAATTCCACTTTCTTCTGTCCTCTCTCTCCCTTCCGCTCCCTTTCAGAGAGCTGTTACACCACACACCACTGACAGGCCGTACAACCCCAGATCTGCCTTGCAGATCACCTGCTCAGCAGAAACCAAGGAGCTGGGAGCACAGCTCCAAGTCCCCTGCAGCCTTTGACCGCCTGCCAGCTCATATTGTTAGCATTTAGCCAGGATAAAAAGGTTCCCTGGGAGGACAGATTGGTCTGTCTCACTTTCAAAAGAGTCTGAAGTTGTCTGTTTCCTCTTTTTTTTTTCCTGCTCTAACAGTGTCCTTTAATGCTGATTTAGGGAGGTATTTCTGAAAAGAATATGGATGTTCTGCCTTTGTTTCTGTGGAGATCCTAGCCCTTATTTCTGTGGAGATCAGTGCTGATCATATTAAAACCATCTATCTCATGGATATAGAATGAAGACAGCAAATTATTTTACAAAGATCCTTCCTCCACCTTTTATTGTTACCCAGGGCCAGCATTGTCACTAGGGTGTATCTGCTTGAGGGAGACAGAAGAACGGTCACCCACCGTCTGCCCCTCCAGTTGCCTTCCAGCCCCATCCATGCAGATGCTTTTGCAGAGGCTAATGGTGTGGGTCTCAGCCACGCACCCCTCCATATGATCATAAGGACTGATGTGCCAGACTCACATCTTCTATGGCTATTTTTATCTGAAAACCTTTGAAGAGTGCTTTGAAGTTACATCTTAACCTCTAAAATATGGTATCACTTCTGGGTTGAAAAACAGGTTTGATGCAACAGGTTTCTCACGGAACTAAGCTGGTGAACCCACTGCAGGGATCAGTGAAATAGTTACACTGAATTCAGAAATAATTCTGGGTCCCAACTGGAAGTAAACATTGATAACTCGTGGGTTAAAAATACTATTGCAGGAATAGTCTGTCAGTTACCAGTTGGTATTCAAAATGAGGAGTGCAGGAGAGAGAGACGGAATCTCAACTTTTACACCCCTCAACATTTGAGGTCAGAAGCTCCTGAGGGAGAAGCTAAAGAGGCAAGCTGAACCCACTCCACATCAGCTGCCCCCAGCAGCTCATTTCTACTCTCACTGCTTTACACCTTTCCAAAGACAACACAAATCCCAGCTTTCACCTGAACAGACTGTGCAGAGAGACTATCATTTGCCACGCAGCCCCAATTACACCAGCAGTGCAGCCCACATCAGCAGGAACACAGAGCTGGCTCACCTGGCTGTGCTGACCTCGGGGCTTCCATCACCACTGAGCACAAGGGTTCTCTGAAATCACAGAGAACAAAACAGCCACATGTTGTGAAACTCGCGTATCATGTCTACCTGAGCTTCTGCTTCTGAGATTTAACATTCCTGGATAATTATTTCCCTAGAAAATGTCTCAGCAGTTACCCAATACCTTGCTCTCAAAGTTCAGCTGTATGACTACTGCTAGCAACATCCCATGGGTAAGAAAAAAGTGCCCACTGCTGAGCAGAATAGAACAAATTCTGTCAGTTCCATGATGCAAATAAGCTGAGTTCAGTATGTCAGAGATTTCAGAGTTCAGTATGTCCTGCTTCTCTCCAGTTTGTCCAGCACCTCACTGTGCAGGTGACCGGCGATACCATGCAAGCTGGGACTGACTTCCTATGAGCTGTTTGCTGGCTGATGGAGGGAAGAGACCAAAACAGAACAGCAGGGACATGGAACTTTCACAAACTATCACACAGGTTGCTGGTTCCAAGGCCTGGCCCATGGTAAAGCTCCCTGGCTCACAGAGCTCACAGCAGGGCTGCCAGGCTTCTGCCTGAGCGGGGAAGGCGGCTCCCGCCTCCATCTTCTGCCTTGTCTGGGCCCGGGAATATTAATAGCACTTAAAAATAAATAATGGTGATAATGAAAAACCGTAATAGGGTTTCCTGACGATCGTTTTTCCTGCATTGGAGCCAATCAATTTTAATAATAAATTATAGCTTCCAGCTTGCCAGGGAACAAATGCGCATAGCGAGGTGAAGCCTGCTGCGAGGCAGCGCTGCCCAGGCCATGCCCACACAGCAGCAGCGCCCGCTGCGCCAGAGCTCCTGTGGCAGGGGCAGCTGCTGGAGGCACAGGCCTCACCAACACCAGCTGGCACCTCTTTTGGTAAAACGCCAGAGCCCGTCTTAGAACTGCTTACCATACACTGATGCACGGATGTAAGCACGGCGCAGCATGCACAGCACACAGCACAGCCAGCCCTGCCCTCCGCCCAACAGCAAAGCACCTCGCGATGCCTTTGGAAAGAGCCTAAAGAAAGCCTAGTTTAAAAAAGACAACACAGCAGAGTATAGTCCCTTTGAGCCTGGCAACACAGGTGCAGATATGACAATGCAATATTATCAGTGCTAGAAGGAGCCCTATAAATCCAGTGCTGAACTCTGGCCTCTCCCCGTCACTTCTATCTTCCTGTGCCCTGAGCAGCAGATATTTCTGACACATGCAATTCTCCTGATACAGCCCATCAATCCAGTTTTGTCTCCCTTTGTTCCTCACGAGCCGCCTGAGGGATGTGGCTGCGCTCACTTGCTGGCGCTGGGGAGCTCTGCACATCTCCTCACTGCTCTGAGCACGCTGTCCTGCAGTCCCACCACAGCCGTGTCCAGGAGGCTGAGCCAGGAACTATACACAGGAGGAGGCCGTAGGAACCCTCAGTGGCACAGCTGCTTTCAAGCACCTAGGGGAGATGGAGCTGAGGCACACACATCTGCAGGTGCAGCGGGTAACAGCAAGGGAGCACGCAGCACCCTGAGGGCTCCCTGCTTCACGATTCCTTTTCAAGATGGAAAGACAGCCATGAACACTGAGACACCAGACACTGCTGGTGTGGGGGAGCAGCCACTGGGACAAAGCACAGCAAAACGTCACTGTCCATAAGCACAGCATTTTTCCTTCAGACAAGCAGGAGAAAAAAAAAAAAATAACAGCATTATGCCTCTCTCAGAGGCTCCAGTGCAGGGTTCTCTGGAAGCAGTGTGGAGTTCACGCTGCACCAGGAACCAGCCAAAGTGCTGCAGACCAGGATGCTGCAGGAAACACAAGCAGGCATGCGGGAGATTGACTCGAGAGTTCTCACAAGTTTTGTGAAGGTCCCTTTTCCCCCTCCTCTGGCAAAATGAAATCTTTTTGCTATTCTGACTCCATCTGTGCAGGGCATGTGTCACAGACATCAAAACCCTGTCAGAGTTCCCTTCTTTAATGCATTTTCTGATCTTTGCCACGTTCCATCTGTAGAATCTGGCACCTGCCTTGGCCATCCAAATGGGGCCCACCAACACCCTGGGACTCTAAATCACCTGCTTTCCATTTGAAACGCTGCAACACATCCAACAGCAATTTCAGAGAGGGAAAAGCCTTCAGCAGTACAGCCCAGAAAGTATCCTGGGGGGAAATTCCTCCAGAGGGGGCTGCCTTTGGCAGGCCAGTGGGGTTTCCATCAGAGGCTGAGGCTGGTTCAGACATCAGAGGTGGTCCCAGTCACATGGCTACAGGACATGCTGGGAGTGAGTAGCCAGAAGTATATGGCAAACTCAGAGTGATGATAACATACAATTAAGGGTGATAAGCTCCATCCTTGTCATAGGAATAACACCTCTGGAGCAGGCAGAGAGATCTTTCCTAATTGCTAAAACCTCCTATTTGGGGAGAATATGAGAACAAGATGAGGGGCATACAATTGACAAGCTACCTTGCCAGAGACCTCACCACATGAGCTAAAGGCAGGCAGTTCTCTTCTCTAGATCCTCCCGGTACCATCCAGCACTTTGTCTCTCTGGGAATCTGTATTTACATCACTTGCTCTGGATCTTATTTCTCTGCCATCACACCCCTTTTGCTGTTCCACAACATGAGAAGAGTTAAGGATGTATCTGCAAGGGAAGCTCACAGCCCAACATCACCCTGCCAACGCATGGATCCCAGCTGAGACTGCCAGTGCCAAACACCTCACTGCCTGCACTGTATTAAAATCTGACCTTAATTTGCTGCCAGCGGAATAACAAAGCGAGGCGGGCTCAGGCGTGATGACTCTGCAGTGGGGTTCCAGGCTCCACATGCCTGCAGTGCTGACAGACCCGTGAGCACCTGCATGAGCTGCCACGGCCACCCAGGGCCTGCCACTAAGTGGATCAATGGGGGAAGCACCCGATATTCCTGCTATATCATTTAAAGCAAATGCTGAATTTCTGGAGCTGGGTCTTTAGTTAACCATTTTACTGTGACAAATATTTCTTTGTCTAGCATAAGTAATTAGAATTTAATCACTTTAACGGCATCTTAATTACCTCAAATGAATTGAAAGGACATTTAATAGCAAAGATTAAATTGCCTTAATGAATGATTTTTGCGACTCCATCAATATGTTAATCACGTTAGCCCTTCCTTTCCTACGAGCGCTGGCGGCTGCCGGCCCCTGGGTGGCGACCTCGGATCGCCGCTTCCGCGCCGCGCAGCTCCGGCTGCACCGCCCCGCAGCGCCCGGCTGCGGCCGGCCCCGCAGCCCCTCGCCTCGCTGCCGTGTGGGCGCCCCAGCCCCGGTTCCGCCGCAGCCGCCGAGATGGGGTTTCCGGGCTGTGGAAGTGACGCGCTCCGCTCCCAGAGCTTCGCTGGGATTTTAAAGGCCCTCGAAGGCACGTACCGAGCGGGCGGCACTCGGACTTGTTTCCTAAGGCCCGACCCCACTTCTCCCCCGCTAGTTGGAAAGCCTTTCGTCAATTCCGACAGTACTCAAACAGCGAGAGCTGCCCTGCGTCCTTGAGACGGCTGTGCCACCACCGGGTCCCCAAGCCGGAGCACTGCAGTGCGGCTGCTGCCGTGTTGCGGCCGTGCCCCGAGCTCCGGGCGGACTCCCGCAGCCCCCCCCCTGCTCGGTGTCCCCCGCAGCGTGTGCCCCAGCGGTGGCGGTGTGAGAAGCATCGCGGGGCCGACCTCCTCGGGAGCGGGACACCTCGAGTGAGCTTCGTTGCAGAAGAATTTCGCTAAGACCGTCTCGTCTCCCCCGGGAGGTGATCTACCCCGAGACATCGATGTCTGCGGCGAAATCGCCGCTCTGGATCTGCGCACGCGGAGGTGCGGAAGCCACAGAGAGCCAGCGGGAGCCCGGAGCTCACCGGGCAGAGCCGCACTCGGTACCGCACTGCCCCGAGGCGGGCCACGAGCACACGGCTCCCGCGCTCGAAACGACTCCGTCCTTGCGTGGGGCCCGCGGGGTCCCGCAGCCGAAGCCGAGCGCGGTCAGTCCCGGCGACGCGCGCACAGCCGCACCGCCCGACGGCTCCGCGCGCTCCCACGAACCCTCGGCCGAGTCCCCCGGGCCGCCCCGCGCCGCCGGTAACTGTCCGCAGTGCTGAAGCAGCCGCCATCCAGGCCGCTCCCGAGCCCGCATGGCGCCGCACGCCGTCATCCGTCCGCCCGTCCCGTCGGCGTGTCCCGGCCCGGGCAACCGCCGCCCGGCGCGGAGGCGGTCAGTAGAGGGCGCAGAGCCGACGGGAACGGCGGGAGGCACTTGGCCGGGGCAGTTCGACGGCAGCCCCCGGGCGGCGCGAGCAGAAGGGATGGAGCGGTTCCGAGGCCGCTTCGTCAAAATCGCAGCGGATCGGAATGAACGAACGGACGAACAAGGGAGAGGCGGGAGCCGCCGGGCCGACACTAACGAAGGGCGAATGCGGTGCGTGCAAGCGGCTGGGAGTCGGTCCCGCCACAGTGACGTGGCTGGAGAACACGGGGCCCACAGCGGCACCGGGCTCCAGAGCGGGGCGGGCGGCCCTCGTCAGATTCCATATAAATGCGGAGAACGCTCTGATTATGGTATTGATTTCTTTAGAGTTAATTTGGTGAGAAACCCTCGCAGAGTTAATTTGGTGAGAAACCCTCGCAGGCTGCCCAGAGCTTTGCTTGGCCGAGATTTCGTTTGGGAGAGAGAAAGGAGACGGGGGGGAGAGAAAAGATGCGTAGGTACAGACAGCAACAGCCCGGTCACCGGAATGCAGCGGGCGGGGAGAAGAAGGAGAAGAGAGGGTACCGCCGCGCTCAGCACCCCCGGAGCAGAGGCCACCCCCGAACCCCTCCGGACGGCCCGCACCGCTGGGAAATACCGCGAAGGAGAACCGCTCGGAAATGCCGACGGGCCGCGGCGGTGCCGGGCGCTTCCTTCGAACCGCGTTTCTTCTTGGAGCCCTTTCGCTGCCCTCCAGGTGTCAGCGGCGGCGGTGTGGGGCTGAAGGAAGAGCGAGCGAGAAGCAGCCGAGCGGAGACGTACTGAGCGATATGGGGGGGAGTGGAAGGGCAGACAAAGAGAGAATGGAGAGGAGAGGGGACATAGGGTGAATAAGATGGAGGCTGAAAGAGGTCAGTGCTGCTCACGCTGCGAGACGCAGCCCGGGGAAGCGCCGGGGCCCCTGAGCAGCTTCCACGCAGACCCCGAGCCCTCTGACTGCTGGAGTGTGAGGCGGAGACACAGGGAGGGTCCCCCCCGAATCTCCCCATCGCCTGCGGCCCTGGGACACCGGCGGGAAGAAGCCGGGCGTTTTTCCGCCGCCAACTGTCCGTAAACGCCCGGGAGTGAGCTATAATTGGGACGTGAAATTTAATTGCCGCCGACTGGAGTAATTTATGATATTCTGAATTGACGTTCATACATCATTATCACTCCGGGCAGGTTTTTACCATTCGGTAAGGTCATCACACATGTAAAACCTGCACGAGATGAGATCGATAGCTGACGCACTCGCAGAGGTCGCCCGCCGCCCGCCTCTCTTAAGCCCGCCTGCATCCCTTCCTGCCAGCGGCGCTCAGCGCGCGGGCCAAATCCTGCGGGCCGGAGGAGCGCTGCGAGGACCGCCCCCATTGGCTGGGATACGCCGCTATGCAAATGAGCACGTGCGGCGGGCGGCCCAGGTGGGGCCGGGCGGGGCGGGGCGGGGCGGGCGCTGGAGGGCCGGGCGCTGCTCCCCGCGTCCCCTCGGCCCCGGGCAGCCGGAACGGCTCGACCCCGGCGGGCCGCTTCTCCGCGGTGCCGGCCGTCCAGTAGCGTCGGAAAGGAGACGCGAAACGACGAGGCTTTGTCCCTCTGCCGGGACCGCCCCGCTCTGCCGCCCGGGTGCAGGGGCGCACCGGGAGCGAACAAAGGGCTGCGCGGCCCCGCGGGGAGCCGCTCCTCAGCGATCCGTGCACACGAGCGGGGCTCGGGGCGTACGACACGGTTCGTACGGTTCGGCCCCGAGGTCGTTGGGCGACGTCGGAAGCGGCCCCCATCCGCCTCTCTTCAGCGCCCGCGGGACGGGGCTGCGCGGCTCCCAGCGAGCGCAGGAGGCGGAAAGGGCGCTGCCGAGCTCGGACCTTGGACGCCGAGCGCGGCCGAAGCCGAGGTGGCGCGGGAGGAACAAGGGATCCGCGCCGCGTCTCAGAGGTGCCGCTCCGTCCCCGGCCCCGAGCGCAGAGCCGGGTCGAGCGCACCCCGGGGGTCCCCCGGTTGCCCGCACCGCGCGTCGGTGCGTTTGCGAGTGGGGAGACGAGCGGCTTCCCTCGTTTTCTCCGGAACGGATTGGTGACCCCGGCGGATCGACTGTCTCGCGTTCTCCAGGGACAAATTAGTGGAGACCTATCACTTAATTAACAGCCCCTTGCTCACGGCATATTAAACCCGCGTCCCGCACAAGCCGGGGGTGGGAAGGCGCGGGGAGGCCACGGGATAGGAGACGCGTTCCGCTTCGTTCGCCGCACACGGCGCCCGGCCGGGCCCTGTCCGCGGCCCGGACCTGCCCGGACGGCCGCGGGGCGCTCCTTTCATCCCCACACCAAAGCCACAACGCTCCGCGCGACGATCACCACAGCAATCCGTTAAAAACCGAACGACTCCAGTCGACGGCGTTGCTCCTGCACGCCGGGCCCGCACGTTTGTGCGCGACTCTCGTTCCGCAGCACCCGCCCGGCACGGGCGGACATAGAGCCCTGACCCACTCCGAGCTCCGGCCTCGCTGCGCTCCCCGAGCCCGTGGGCGCGGCGTTGGGCAGCGCAGAGCCCGGGCCCCGTTCCGGCCGCGCAACGCCGCCGATTCCTCCGCTGCGGGAGGCCCGAGTCACGGCGGGACAAAGCGGAACCGGCAGCGGCACTGCCCGGAGCTGCACTGCGGCCCTCCCGGAGGCGCTTCTCCGCACCTGCGGCCACCGCGTGCGTCGGCGCCCGGTGTGAGCTCAGCAACCCGCGGGCACTTCGGGCACCGCGCGTTAACGCGGGGCCGAGCGCGGCCCGAACGGGGCCCAAGCCACCCCCGCACGGCGGGCACAGGCGCGGGGCCCGTCTCGTCCCGCCGCGGCTCCGCTCACCTGCCAGCCGCAGAGCAGACATCCGCTGGAACTCGGGCTCCTGGAGCCACTTCCACATCCTGCGGAAGGTCTCCCGGCCGGACTTGAGCTTGCTCCAGGGCTTGGGGTTCCTCAGCAGGTCCGAGAGGGTCCCCTGGGAGCGGCACAGCACCCGCTGGGCAAAGATGGCCTGGGGGATGCTGTATCGCTTGAGCTCGGTGGTGATCCTCTGAGCGACTTCTTTGGTATTGATTTCTTCCATTTGCCCTGAATTGCTCCCGCCGCCCGCCTGAGAGCCCGCCACCGCAGGGTTCTGCTCCCGGCCGGGGCCCAGCAGCTGCCCATGGCCCTGCGCGCCCAGGTGGCCGTGCGGGGGGTGCGGGATGCCGCCCAGGGGCACCATGCCGGCGGGCGGGGCGCTCAGGTGCTGCTCGCCGTGCCGGCCCAGCATGGCGGGATGCGGCGCCTCGAAGCCGGTGGGCGTCAGCATCTTGTCGGCGGGCATGGCGGCGCCGGGGTGCGCGTAGTGCGGCAGCGCCTGCTGCGAGCCGTGCACCGAGCCCAGCCCCGAGCCCGACAGCGGCGACAGGCTCTGCCCCATGCCGGCCACGTCCTTGTGGTACGGCGCGTAGAGGTTGTTCATGGGCGCCAGGCCCCGCTCGTCCCGCATGAGCGTGAAGCTGCCGCTGACGTTGCCCGGGAGGCGCTGGTGCGGATGGTGGTGATGGTGGTGGTGGTGGTGCGGAAACTTGTCCGACACCGTGGAGATGGGCGGCAGCGGCTGCAGCGGAGTCAGCGTGGTGTAGGTGCCGCTCATGCCCATGCCGGGGGGCGTCTCGCAGCCCATGCTCATGGCGGGATGCAGCGGCCCCCCCAGCCCGTGCTCGGCGGCGCGGTGGTGGTGGTGGAAGTCGCCGCCGTCCAGCAGCGCCATGCTCGCGGGCCGCGCGGGGCCGCCCAGGTGCCCGCGGGGCGGCACGGCGGCGGCGCGGGGGTGCGCGGGGCCGCCCAGCAGCTCGGCGCCCGGCTCATGGCTCACCGCGTGCAGGTCGCCCATGCTCTCCATCGCCAGCTGCGCGTTCATCGCGGGCCGCGCACATCCGTGTGGTGCGGCGGGCGCGGGCCGGCTCCTCCCGCGGGACGCGGCGGCTCTGGAGGGGTCTCGGTGCCGTCGCCGCTGGGTTGGTGGCGCTTGGGTTTGATTTTTTTTTTTTTTTGGTGGTTAACTGAGTTTTTCTTATTTTTTGCGGGACGACGCCGGCTCGGTCCTAGGGCCCCCGCTCCCTCAGGCCAGGCTCCGCAGCCGCGGCGGCCGTCCGCCCGCGCCCCTCGCCATCTCTAGCCATGGCTCTCTCTGCGCTCCGCCGTTTGGCCGCCGCTCCGCTGCTGCAGCGCCGCGGCGCTCCGCGCGGCGCATGCGCGCCCCGCCCCACCCCGCCCCGCGCCCGCCCGCGCCCCGCCTCCGCGCGCCCCGCCCCGTGACGTCACCACTCCTATTAAGGGGGCCAGCCCCGCGCGCAGCGCTCACAGCCGCGGTACCGCGCGGCCCCCCGGAGCCTCGCGGTGGCCGCCCGGGCGGGGTTTCCCGCTTCCCCCCGGATCCCGCCCCGTGAGCCGTGTCCCCACTCTGCAGCAGCCCACCCACCCCACCTCCCTGTGGTGACCGCCCCCCTCCCCCAGGCGCTGCGGGGCCGTGCCCGTGCCCGGAGAGCAGCTGCCCCAGCGCGGCCGCTAGGTCCTTTTTTCCCCCCGAAATAAAGAATAGAGGGAGGAGGAGAGAGAGAAAAGCGGCCCCCCCGCCGGCCCCTCGTAAGCGGAGGTGCCTTTATCCCGGCAGAACGGGCAGATGTGCCCATTGTCCGCCCATTAACAATAACGGACCCCGCCGGCGGCGCGGGGCGGGCGCGCTGCGGGAGAGCCGCGGGGCCGCGGCCGGGAGGGTCGGGGCAGAGCCGGCGCGTGGGGACGGGCTCAGCACTCCGGCACGGGGCAGCCCTGAGAGGAGGCGCGGGGCTCTGCCTCCACGAGCAGCCCCGGCCGCGCTGCGGGGCGCTGTCAGCGCGGTGCGTGGCACGGGGAACCCTGGGCCGCTCCTGCGTCGCCCCGTCACGGAGCACTGGGCCGAGGCACGGCGCAGAGCGGAGCCCGACGGGGCGCTTCGGCGCATCCCGCGCTCGGGCCCGGCCCCTCGTCGCGCTGCGGCGTTAGCGGGGCACTGACCTCGTGCCCCAGGCGGGTGCGGGGACTTCGAGTTCGCTGCCGCTGCGTGCCCAGAGCTGCATACGCGGCCCTCCAAGGTGACGCCTTTGGGTCTTTATCCCTAAAAAAACACGATTCCCTGAAATGAAAACCCCACGCACCTCCGCGTGCGTTTACGGCAGAACTCAGAGTCGCTGAATCGCGCCTCCGAGGGACGGCCGCTGCCCACCGCCGGCTGTTTCCTGAAGCCCTTCCGCTGTCCCTTCACCGAACTCCGCGCAGCGCAGCGCCTTCTCAACGCCCGAATCTGCGCGGCCCGAACGGCGCTGCCCCATTCCTTATAGAACGGGAAAGGAGCACCCAAAGCTGCTCGTGGCCTCGGGCAAAAAAATAAAATTAAATCATCGAAGCAATTCTAGAGCGAGACGAGCGGCTGCGGTCGCTCTTCGGGCCAACGCGAGGAATTCCGGGTCTGATGGGGACGCTCAGCTTCTCGATAACCGTATCTGCGTACAATTTAAATATTTAAATTTAAATTAATCAAAAGTTCCTCTGTACAACACTGGGCGAGCAGCTGCCAACGCGAACTCGGCCACGCGGAAGTCACCTGCTCGAGTTTGGGGAAAATCATAGCATCCGATTTTTCTTCGAGAAAGGAACGCGGTCCCCGCACATCCCACGTCGGGACCGCGGCCCGGGGCGGCTCGGGGCTCGGGGAGTAACGGCCGCGGGTCACGGGCCCTGCACCCCGCCCGTCCGCCGCTTTTCCGTAACAATTTTTTTCCGTTGCTCCCGGGGAGATCTTGGCAACGGTACGCTCCCGGTGCGGGGAGGTTGTGGCTCTTCGACGACTCCCTTCTGGGCGCCCCGGAACGGTCCGGGGACCGCATCCCGCACGTAGTCCGCACTGCCCGCACCCTGCGGAGCCGTCGGGGTGGCCCAGTACCGGCCCCCCCGGGCGCAGAGCCTCCCGCACTGCCGGCGGAGGGGGAGTGCCGGGGACGCATCATTTCGGTGTTTTAATCAATTACCGCTTTGCAGTCAAGTACCATATATTTAACAGAATAATCGTTACCGCCCTTAAGTCTTTATTTGATCAGCAGATACTCAGCGCGGACTTAAAACGCAACTTCGGTTGTTTGAATTGCGCAGCGTGTTGTGCTTTTTAAATCCGTGCGACCACAGACGGAACGGCCGCCGGCTCCCGCTGACAGCAACACAAGCGGGCACCGGGCCCTGCGACGGCGCAGCCCCGACGGGGCGGCCGGGCTTGGGACAACTGGGGGTGTCCGGCGGCGGGGCCGCGGCTGTGCGGCTGTCTTTTTTTTTTCATTCTTTTCCATCTTTTCTCCCGTTTCATTTTCTTTTCCTTTTTCTCTTCTCTTTTTTTTTTTTTTTCCTTCCTCTTCTTTTTTACTTTTTCCCTCTTTACTTTTCCTTCCCCCTCCTTTTTCTTCTTTTTTTTTCCTCTTATTCCTTCCTTTTCTTTTTCTTTCTTTTTTCCGCCTACTTTCTCTTTTCTTCTCTCTCTTTTTTTCTTTTTTTCTTTCCACTCTTTTCCTTCCCCCCTCCTCCTTTCCTTTTACCGTGTGCCGCCGCCCCGCACGCGCCGCCACCTCGGCGCAAATCTCCCGTCGTCCCCCCCCCGCGCGGTGACAGCTTGCGGCGGCCGCGACACCCGGGTCCCCCCGCACGGGGACGGTGTCAAAGGTGACGCTCGGAGGCTCCCGAAGCCAACAGCTGCCAGGGGGGGATTAACTTTTCCAGACTTTCCCCTGTTGAGCTTCTTGGAAACTTGCTCGGCGACAAAAACATATACATCTGTCGCGGGGCAGGCAGAGAAAAGAGGGCTTTAGCGGCTGGGGCACGCGGGGGGGCGGCATTAAGGGGGCCGCAGGGTTGGGGGGATGGCCGCCGTGCCCTCAGGAGAGAGCAGGGCCGGGCCGTGAATCCGGGCCCCCGCATCTCTGGGCCGCAGCCACGCACTCGGCCCCGACGGGGAGAACGGCGCTCGGCGGTCCGGCCTGGCCCACGGTGCTGCCCGAGGTCCACCCGGGCACAGGGTAGGGCTCACCCCCCAGACCCCTCACCACGTGCCAGGCTGCCCCCGCTCGCTGCCGTCGAGCCGAGGAAGGCCGCTCCCGCTGCCGGGCGCCCCGTGCACCGAACGGAGAGTTCTGGGAGAGGGGCTGCCCCGGGCTGGGTGTGAGCTTCGGCTGGGTGTGAGCCCCCACGGCTGGGTGTGAGCCCCCACGGCTGGGTGTGAGCCCCGGGTCCGGAGACCCGCAGAGGGCGAGGGGGGGCACCGGGAGGGGCTGCGGAAGCTGCCCGGCCCCACCGCCCCGAGCCGGCTCCGCGCCGCGCCCCGCGCCGACCGCAGTGCTGGTAATGAAGGGACTTAGAGAAGCTTTGCAAAACACCGTAAATAATTTAGCGGCGTATTTCAGGAAAAAAAAAAAAAAAAAAAAAAAAAAAAAAAAACCAGCTTTCTTAAATCATCTCCTCAATATAACTTGCAGCCTTACAGTATGGCCCTGGTAAGTCTGAATTTTTAAAGTAGCAATATTCAAAGAGACAGAGATGTCTGTATTAATTATTTATCCGCCGGTGCCTTCCTTCGTTTCTAACTTATTATTAATTAGGCGCCTCCAGTCTTTCGCAGAGAGCTCCGCAGAGCCAGTTGCAGCTTTAAATATGAATTAAAAGCAAATCCGAGCTACTGTAATGCGAAAATTATTCCGTGTCTTCCATGGCAGAGATGAATAGCGGCGCGGATCAATACTGTGAAGCTATGCTCCCAACGACAGCGTTATTGATAGCTGATATTAATGATGTTAATGATGGAAAAAGGAAAACAAGAGCCCGACAGACTTATAAACTTTTTATCTGCCGAAACCCCGCAGTCGGGCGGACGCGAGCGTGAGTTAAGGGGGCCGCAGCTAATAAGGACGTTATTTACGAAACCGGATAAACGAGCGCTGCCAGCGTGCCGCTTTTAACTCCGCGCTCCCGGCCGCCCAGAGGCACGCGCGGACCCTCGCAGGGGCCCCGACGGCCGCCGCTCCGCAACCCCCTGCAGCCCCTCTCTCTCCCGCGGAGTCCGGCCCGGGCAGAGCCGAGGGGTGGCCGGGAGCGGCCCGAGCCCTCACTCCGCAGCGCGACTCCGCCGGACCGCGAACACGCGGGGCCGCCCGCCCCGTCCCGTTTCGTCCCGTCCCTCCCCACTCGTGCTTCGGGCTGCGGTTGTCCCGGTTCTGCCCCGCGGCTCTGCTCTCCTCCCGCGGAGCCTTGAGCCGGGCCCGGGCCGGACTGCGTCCATCTGCCCGCGGAGCAGTGCGCGTTGGAACACACGAGCGTACCCCGGCTGCGCTACGACGGGGATCAACGGCGCTCGTGCGAGCGCTGTTACTCAGGTTTATTATTCAGAGACGGACGCTCCCGGCCCCGCTCGCCCAGGGCCGATCCCCCCCGCTCTGAGCCAGGGCCCGGAGCCGGAGCCCTGCAAGGGGAGGAGGGGGCTGCGGTGAGCGGCTGGGGGGGCTGCAGGAGAAGCACCTCGGCCCGGCGGCTGCGAACAGCGCGGTGCTGCCCGGCCGGAGCTGCTGCAGGCGGGGGCGGAGGTGCAGCCGCAATGCGCGGAGAGACCTCGTAGGTAGAACTAATTATCGCTCTAAAAATCTGCCGGCTGTAAGCACTTTTCTTTTCTTTCTTTTCTTTCTTTTCTTTCTTTCTTTCTTATCTTTTCTTTCTTATCTTTTCTTTCTTTCTTTCTTTCTTTCTTTCTTTCTTTCTTTCTTTCTTTCTTTCTTTCTTTCTTTCTTTCTTTCTTTCTTTCTTTCTTTCTTTCTTTCTTTCTTTCTTTCCTTCTTTCCTTCTTTCCTTCTTTCCTTCTTTCCTTCTTTCCTTCTTTCCTTCTTTCCTTCTTTCCTTCTTTCCTTCTATCCTTCTTTCTTAATTTGAAAATATATTTGTAATTACAATTTTTAAAACCAGCTTCCTCCGGGAGAAAGTCGCACTTGTTTCCAAAACCAATTCACAGCAGATAGTGCGGATATCACTTAATTCCTACAGAAATCAATGTGAAAATTAGATTTATTGGCTCCTTACATTGTTAAAAATGACAGAGTGCTGCCTTTTATTTTCATAAAAACACAGAAGACGAAAATC